GTCAATCCCCATAGACCCCCATGTTAAAATGTCCAAATTTACAGCAGAAATAAACATGTTTACAGCCTGGTACAGGTCTCTATAGCTTATTTCCCTATTCATGACAGGAGATGAATTTTGATTTGAAGGCGTTGTATGTAAAATGTGGCCAAAACGGTTACTGCACTCAAATTCAAAATATTGCCGCAAGTCGTGTCCGCCCCCCCTCCCCTACAGATTCGAGGTTGTTGGACAGCGGCACGCTGGAGACTGATTTGTTTGCCCACGGGCGGCTGCCGTGGCAGGGCCGTGTCACCGCGTCCTTGATCTTCGGTTTTCCAGCGGACCATTCGAGCAAGTCCGGCTTCTCTGCTGCTAACGCTGCTGCCGGGATACAGCAGAGAAGGAGCCGGCTGCTAATGCTATGTACCGGGACACTTCTAACGCTGCTGCCGGGATACAGCTGAGGAGGAGCCGGCTGCTAATGCTATGTAACGGGACACTGCTAATGCTGCTTGCCGTGCTGCTGTAGCTCAGTCGTAACTGTAACTGATGATGAGACTCTACTGACTGAGTGACTGGTAGACGGAGGTGGGTGGCGCAACAGGCCAAAACACAAATTCAAAACATAAACATGATTTGCAGACAGAAAAAAAAAATTTAAAATGCAAATATTCTGGCTGTACTATTGTTGTCGGTGAGATCAGTATGTTATATGAACATTATTCCTTAGTCTCTGTGACATATTAGGATGATTTTACAACTATTTGCTTTAGATTTCTTACATATAGCTCCTTTAACTCACCCATTCACATTGTATTAAGGCTTAAAGTTACACATAATTAAGGGTGTGGCCACTTTGAGTGACAGTGCTGTCTGCCAATAGTGTCATCGGCTTCTCAGACAGATCCACCTCCTTGCTCCTCTACGGCACCAGCCTCCTGTCCAAGTATGGTCTGTTCTGGCTCCAAAAACCAAGATGGCGACGGCTGAATTGCCAGACTTGAGGCTTTAAAACGGGAGTCCACAAACTAATGAGGGATGTCACGGTGACTACGTCCATTATTTTTAACAGTGTATGGACCAATCTCAGTCATATTTACAGTATAGCTCTGAGATGTTTTCTGCCTCTGATTACAATTAATTGAAAAGGTTTTTCCATTTCTTTTTGGGTGAATTTCCCTGATTATTTTTATGTTATGTAAGTTTATTATTTTTTTCTCAGATGCTTCAATCTATAAAATCAATATTTTGCTTATAATTTCAGATATATCACACATATTTTGACTTAAGATGATAAGTTTGCAATCAAATATGTATTGGAGAATATAACAAAAGTGGATTGCTGTGAGCACAACTCTTCATCTGTGCAGAAAGGATGGCAGCAATCAGCCTTGAAACATGAGTGGGTTTAAAACCCCAGAAATGTAAACCTCTACCACTTTATTTCGAGGGTGTCATCCATTACTTGGTGTTATTACAAGGGACTCAACTAAATTACTGTAATACGATGAATAAATTACGAGAAAAGCGGCGGTAAAAGTCAGTCAAAACACACATGAGCAGAGTAAGCAGGATGACTAAGCGAAATGTCAGGATGTGTGTTTCCCAGCCTCCACAGAAACATTAGTTTGGAACAAATTCACTCTGGTTCACAAAAACACTGCCAGGAACACAGTTAAATACCACCAACCCTCAAAGAAACAAACATTCTGGGCAAGTTACAGAGGAAAGGCAAAATGTAGACGAGTGTACACTAGTGGAAAACACTGTCGTTTCTCCTTTACCTGAGAGTTTTGTCTATAATTTACCTCATTGCACATGTAGAACATGTAGAAAAACAGCTCCTAGTCAGTGTTGTCCAATTTTAAAAGTTGATTCAAACATGGAAATCATTCCTAAAATCATGAGGAAATTTGCAACAGCACCTTTTGTATTACTGGACATTCTAGGACACAGTTAAAGTAAAATGATGTCCTTTAAAGGAGACCTCTTGATCTCATTTCAGTTTTATACTTGTATTTGGGGTTTCTGTGAAACAAAAACACTTTATTTTCCTCATACTGTCTGTGCTGGAACATCTGTATTCATCCTTGTCTCTTTAAGTCCCCATCCCAAAAAAGCCCAGTCTGCTCTGTTTGATCAGTGTTTCCAGGTCTTGCGTATCTCTGTGTCTGTGCACTGTCATTACAGCCAGGGGAATGACTATAACATAGTAGAGCTGCAGTTTTTACCGTTAAAAATAACCAATAAAACCCTCCTAAACCAAAACCTTCACAACCAGATGTTTTCCAGCAGGCGTATCATCTGAAGTCTGAGAGAAATTGACATTGGTTACCAAGTTTATGTGTTTTCCTGATGTTAGCATGGAGCTACATGTAGCAGTGTCATTACAGCCAGGGGAATGACTATAACATAGTAGAGCTGCAGTTTTTACTGTTAAAAATAACCAATAAAACCCTCCTAAACCAAAACCTTCACAACCAGATATTTTCCAGCAGAAATATGATCTGAAATCTGAGAGACATTGCCATTGGTTACCAAGTTTTTGTGTTTCCTGATGTTAGCATGGAGCTACATGTAGCAGTGTTAATGCAGCCGGGTGAATGAATGTAACAGAGTGTAGCAGTACTTTCTACGCTGAAAAATCAAAAATAAGAGCTTCTAAACCAAAGTCTTCACAACAGGACATGTTCTAGCAGGAATATAATCTGAAATCAGGGAGAAATTAAAAACACTGGCAACCAAGATTACTTGTTTTCCTGACGTTAGCAGGTAGCTACAAGTAGCAGTGTAGCCTACTTGCAGCCAGGGAATGACTGTTACGGAGTACAGCAACACTTTCTACCATGAAAACTCACCAATAAAAGCATCCAAACAAAAGTCTTCACAATTGGACACCCTACGCTGGCGACCAAGTTTACATGTTTCCCTGATGTTAACATGTAGCTACAAGTGGTAGTTTAGCGTTCTTGCAGCCAGGGAATGACTGTAACGGAGTAAAGCAACACTTTCTACCATGTAAAATCACCAATAAAAGCTTCTAAAGCCCAGTTCAGACCAAAAATTCACGACGAGACGAGTTGAAACAAGCAACTACTTGCAATGCACTGTTCTGCAACATTCTAAAAACCTGCCGGTTCACACCAATGCAACTAGATGAGACGGTGTATCATCTCTATGCAACAACTCTCTGTACTACCGTTCTGAGTTGCAGGTGACACCATCAGCCAGTGGAGCTCAGACCAGCCATAGACATATTTCAGCAGGAATATGATCTGAAATCAAGGAAAAATAAAATATCAACCAAGTTACCTTGTTTCCCTGATGTTAGCATGTAGCTACATGTAGCAATTTAAGCTACGTAATGTAAACACTTGCAGTAGCGTGCCTGGAGCAGATGCCCTTATATAGAAATCAGTCACGAGCTGACGTCAGCTTGTATCGTAATTAAAGTATTCAGTACAGTCTGAAGCCTTATTGCTCACAGGGATTCATTTTGTGTATGTTTACCTCATTATTTGAAACTTTGTCCATGTTTAAGAGGAACATCCAGCATTGTAGCATTATATTTATGACAATTTATGAAAATAAGGAAAAGCATATTTGGTACCTTAAAAGAACACAGAATTACTACAGCCCAACTTCACTTAATGATATACACTAACAAGAAAAGCTCCAACACTAATGACTTTCATGCATTTCCTGCTTTTTTTGGTTGATTTAGCTATTATGGTCTGAAGTTGTCGTGTGGAAAAGCTGGCCTCATTTGACCTCAACATCCTAATTTTGTTTTTTCTCTCTGCAGATCACTGGTTAAAATCAGGACACCACATGATTAATGCGCCTTTTTTTTCTTTTACACCAGCAGTTAAAAGTTGCACACAGCTGCAGACTGAGATGTTGATTCTCAGTCAGCACTACCCTTTCCTGTTTTAGGAAGTTATTTGATTTAATGAAATATAGTGGACAATGCTTTAAATCATATCAGTAACATTACAGGCCTTCTTTTAATTACCAGTGATAAACACACTGAGGTCAAAAGAGAGCAAAGAAGGGCTGATGACAAACTGCTTTTATTGAATATTACTTATGCTTTGACTTTTAAACAGCAAAATAAAGTGAAATAAAAGTCTAAATCTATCTGGGTCAAATATTTTCATTGCATGGGAAACAGCTGAATCCATGTTTTCTTGCTCCATGAATTTATGTTTTAAAGTAATTCATTACTTGGCATTACTTTGGGGAAATTAAACAAGTTACAGTTGAGTACAAACAAAAGTATTAGAAAAACAGCGGTGGAAGCCAACGTCTGCCATCTGGCCTAATGGAAAGGACGTGAGAGCATAAGGCAGACATCAACACATTGGAGGAGAAGAAGCACAGTGACTAAGCAAAATGACAAAATGTCTGTTTTTCAGCTTCCACTCTACGAACAGTCTGGAACAATTTAAGTCTGGGTTGACACAAAAACACAGCCAGTAACAGAGGTAAAAACACACCAGCCTCAGAGAAATAAATATTTTGAGCAGTGTCCTGATGAAGGGCACAAATGTGAGGTGTGTATGGACTGATGAAATGCTGTTTTTATTCTGTATGAGGGGTTTGTCCATTCTTTGCCCTTCAAAATGCACTGGGGGAGGCAGTATTAAGGGTATTTTTTGAACATTTGTGCACTTAAATTAGAGATTCCTGCATCTAAAGTGGCTCTAATCGGTAGTTTGATAACAATGGGTTAAATGTATAACAATAAAAGTGTGCAGTGTGTTAAAACATTGGGAGAGAAAAGAGAGAAAGAATTGATAAGAACCTTAATGAGCCACCTGTGCAGCGTGGTCCTGTGACACCAGGTGTGGCTCATTGATTATAATGAAAGACTAGCTACACATGCAGGCAGCATATCTCTGTATAGGTGTATATCAAGGGTTAGGGTTGTGAAATTTACCCTCCTTTTGCCTTAATTTGGAGGATTTAAATTCAACAACAATGCATGCTTTGCAGCCTTCAGTATCCCACAGTCCAATGCGCAACAAGATATGAAAGTTGTAAGTAATAGCAGACATGAACACCACTGTGGGTTCTTGCCCTTCGAACATTGAAATGGTTTTGAGTCGAGACCAAATACACCCATGCAAGCTTGTTGCCACGTCATTATTCAATGTGACATAGCATTATTGTAGTACCAAATGTACTTCCCCACATCCCCATGGACAAGTGGTTCCCAGCTGGTGGGTTGTGGTCCAAAAGTGGGTCGCTGGTCCATTCTGAAAGGACCGCAAGTGACTGGCAAACATGTCAAATTTCTAAAAAAAAAAAAAAAAAAAAACTTTTGAAGTACAGTGAGTTTCTGGCATGTTACAGTGCCATTTCTTGCTGTAGAGTGAGTAACTAAGAGACAGCTACTTGACAGAGACAGCAAACTAGCTTGACAACATGGCCAAACACAAGTATGACACTGAATGTATTAATCTGTGTGGACCTTGAACTAATGACTAAAGAGAAATCTGGACCCTGTGGGTGAACCAGTTGGGAACCACTGCCATAAGCCATGTTTCCATCAGCCTGTTTAGATGCGCATCTAGAAGTATCGCATTGCAAAATTATGATGGAAACGCCAAAATTCGAATTAAAATCCCCTGATTCGCACAAACTAAAATAAGCTCGCTTTAGCCGGGTTTTGGTTGATTCGAAAAAATGTTGATTCGCAAAACGGGGGATGGAAACAGTTATGTTCGAATTAAGTCTGACGTAGCGCACCTCTCTCCATGGTGATATCCACACTCCAGGTCGGGAAGGCGGTAATGCATTTACAAGCTGGTTGCCAACCGCCAGAAAACGTAAAAGAAGAAGAATGCAAGACTTGTTTTGTTTACAGTTCTGCGGAAAACTCGCGCGAGTTCGTAGTTTTCACCAAAGTCCGTACATGTAATGGAAACACACATGATTCGTATTTCTTTTAATGCGCGTTTCCCAATGATTCAAATCACTTTTGGATGGAAACATAGCTATAGACCTCTGTCAAAATGCCCAACTTTACAGCGGAACAGTCTTAGCAATGGATTAAATGTGTAACATAAAATTGTTGCTCACAGTGTGCTAAAACAGAGTGCAGTGCATGGGAATAAAAAGCGGAAGAATTGATAAGCACCTTAATGAGCCACCTGGGATGCATGGCCCTGTGACACCAGGTGTGGCTCATTGATTATAATGAAAGACTAGCTACAAATTTAATTTATTTGACACTTTATACTGACCAGGCAGCATGTCCCTGTATCGGTGTATAACAAGGGTTGGATCTTTGAAAGGGCAGCCTTTTCTTTAATTAATTACGAGGATTTAATTCAATAGCAGTGCATCCTTTGCAGCCGTCAGTGTCCCACAGTCTAATGTCCAACAATCGGTTTTTTAAGATCTTAAATCAGTGAATCCACTGTAAGTTGCAAATAATAGCAGACATGAACTCCATTGTTTTTTCCTGCCATTCGAACACTGCATTGGTTTTCAGTATAGAACAAATTAACCTAGGCAAGCTTGTGGTCTGCGGCTACCTTCTTATGGTTTTATAGGCCTATCCCAGCTGACAATGGGCGAGAGGCAGGGTACACCCTTGGCCAGTCGCCAGACTATCACAGGGCTGACACATAGAGACAGACAACCATTCACACTCACATTCACATGTGTCATGTGAGTCACTTATTAACCTGCATGTCTTTCGACTGTGGGAGGAAGCTGGAGTACCTGGAGAGAACCCACACTGACATGGGGAGAACATGCAAACTCCGCACAGAAGGGCTTCCCCACCCAGGAGTTCAAATCAGGAGCCCTCTTGCTGCACCACCATACCTAGTTAACCAAAAAGAGCTTGAGAGTCCCAACTGATTGCTTGAGGTGTGTCCAGAGCATCATATTGTGGCTACATAAGGCTATTTGAAGAGTTGGGAGTGAGATTGTGTTGACCCCAGTGGGTTTTAGGGTTTGCTTATATTCTAAAAAAGTTTTTGGCACATGCCTTACTGTATGTGATCTAAACTACTGACCCAACAATACTAATGGCTTGTTTATACAGCCTTTGGGGCATTTACTGTAACTCTAAAGTCATCTATCACTGACTGTCAGTAGAGACACACGAGGGAGTAAAAGAAGGGAGTTATCTGTTATCTACAGTATTTTTCAGAAACAAAGCTCGCAGGAGAGAAATGACTAAGAAAGAGAAATAATACAGTAATACAATAAATTCAGGGCTTTGGTGAAAGGGCCAAAACTGGCTACAGAGAGAGGAAATAGTTGTAGGACATTTTTCACTTTCCCACAACAAAAATCTGAGAAGCATTAAGTTTGCTTAGATGACTAACTGATGGAAATGACTACTTGCTTTCTCATTGTGCAGGTTTTGGGATGTGCTGTGTACTTAAATGACAAACTGTTTGTTTTGGACTTCATATTGTTTCCATCCACTTTTCCCGTGTTTGAAAAATACCCCGTATACATTAAAGTAACATCGCATTCTCTTTCATCCCCATTGGTTTGTGCAGTTTTACTCAGTGAGGCATGGGTAGTCTGCAAAAGCATCATTTGGGCCAATCAACACAAGCCCTAAACCCTCCCTTCATGCCTCATTCTTCTTCCATTTTGTTTCACTCTATCTATGTATTCAGGTTAAAATAAGCGTAGGAGGCCATGAAAACGAAATGACTCATGAAATTCCTTGCAGTGCTGTGTTGGATTATTAATCACTGCATCACTTCGACTAAGATTTTGAGCTCAGTAGACACAATTATTAAAATGTTAAAAGATCGAGCGAGTAATATGTTATCAAAGCCAAGTGGCCAAAGCTACAAACTAAAGACATTTTGTTCTTTTAAATGAAACAAAACTCCTCAATAAGGTGTTTTTAGATCGATGAGATTGAGGGTGCTATTTCTTACAAATGCAAAAAGATGATCCATTGGGTTAAGCGAGTCTGCAGATGCAATCAAGGACATAGGGACTCTAGAAAGGCAGTCCAATAACTCAAACTGTGCTAAACTGATTGTCTGCTGTGGGAGAAATATTTTGGAAATCAGATATGTTGAGTTAGAATGTGAGGTATGAAAGTTTTCCACACACGAGAAATGCATCCAAAAAGGTCTCTAAGAATGTTCTGTGAGTAGAGTAACAGACCGCACTGCGACCAATTAAATCCAGGCGTCAATTCCCGGCATGCTGTGATGGTGTGATGGACGTCCACCAACAAATGGGAGAAACATTTGGCCATTTATCTCCCCCACCCCCTTGCCTCATGTGCACCTATCAGAGGATCCACTCAGGTCATTTGTCTCCTTATTTGTATAGAGAGAGGTTTATAGTACACAGGGTGATTTCAGGGCTTGTGGAAGGGAAAAATGTTGAGGTACAGGAGTGAAAAACAATTCACAGAAAGACATATGGGATGAATTTGAGATCTGCGTTAACCTACCCTCACCCCGTACAGGACCATGTCTTTGGTCAAAAAACAAAGGCAGGAGAAGAAATGTTTGCGTCAAGTGTTATGCAAGTCTTTTCTGGCCGTCTTATAACCTTCTTGTCAGATTTTCCGAAGCCTTATTCACAGCTCGAGAGGTACGGCTGAATTTATTCCTCTTCACAACCGGCGTCTGGGTTAAATGGCTGCCAGAGATCGTTTTCACATTTTTCCACCCATAGCTTCTCCTACTCTTTAGATTTTTCCACAAACAGCCTCCTCAACTTTGACTTTAAATTCCTGCTTGCACACGATTTAGGGTTGTTGTTTGAGGGGTAATTACTAGGAGAACTCTGTAAAGGTGATAAACATTATAAAAGGTGGGGGTAACATGAAGAGCATCATACATTTTTTATTTTATTTTTTAAGTGTAATTGCACCTGCTCTTTGTTAGATAACAGCAGTATTTGGATGATTCTCCTCCAGACATTCATACTAATGACACCTTTAATTTACATGACGTCCTGACTCCTTCCAGTTTGCTGAAGAAGCCTCCTCTCCTCCCTCTTTGTCTCTCCATCTACCCCCTCTCCCTTCTCTCTCCTCCCCCTCTCTCCTTCTTTCTCTCTGTGTTTTTCTCCAGAGACCTCCAGTTTTTGAACACCACACTGTTCTTACCTACTGGCCCTCCACCCCACACACACGAGAAGAGAGAACCACAGGTAAGCTTGCATGCGCAGGCATGGATTTGTGATTTCCTGTTTGATTATTCCACTTTATTTCTGTTTTCCGGATGGGATTATCAGCTGTCACTGGCTAGGCTTTTGGGGCAGAGGCTAGTGCTGCACAGAGAAGGCAAGAATAGCAGTGCAAAGAACCAAAAAATAAGATCGTGTATTAGCCTAGATTTTACATGTTTATACAGATCTGCTGTGCCTTTTTAGGACGGTATTATAGATTTCAGTGACTTTAAGACTCTGGAAACAATCTGTTGCACTTGGATCAAGTTTCCGTCTGCATTTTTCATGTGTCTGGAATTAATCATTCTGGTTTTGCATTGTCTGCGGGGTCGATGTTGTACAGTCATGATCCTAAACTAGCTGCTTTTAGTTCCTTGCTTGCTCAATTGTTTCTCAACTTAAAAGTTGAAAACAGTTTAGTGTTTGAGATGCATAATACATGCTGAGCACTTGTGTATACTGATGTACCGGTATGTGTATATATACTGTGTACTCTTGGAACATCTGTGTTGCATTATTGCTCCCATTGCTGGTTTATGTAAAAATGAAGTTGACAGATGAAGTGGGAGCAATGCAGTTTGTTTGAAGCTGCAGCTGTATCGATGTGGCTTCACACAGATAATTGAATCAAGGAATCTAGGACTCATAGGTCTCCAATCAGTTGACATGAACTCTTGACCGATTATATAATACTCTGGGGGGTGGGTGTGGTGATATAGTGTATGCATGAGGACAGTGGGGATACAATTGACATGGTTTTAGCACAATAGTTTAAAAGTTTTGTTTTATAATTCCTCTTTCCTTCAGTTTCTTCATTTTATTAATAAACCCCATTTAACATTTTGTTGCTCTTGACCCCTCTAACCTTTTGTATCTTATTCCCTGCCTCTTCTTCCCTTCTTGTCTGTTGGATCTCCAGAAGTCATGTTCCCTCTCCGTGTACCCCTGTTGATTGCATTGGTCGGTGTGGCCCTGTGCCAGTATTATGACTACGACTACCAGCCTGTTTCCATGCTAGGACCCTCAGGGCCCAACTGTAATCAAGAATGTGACTGCCCAATCAACTTCCCCAGTGCCATGTACTGCGACAGCCGCAAGCTCAAGTTTGTTCCTGTAGTCCCAACAGGGATCAAGTACCTGTACCTCCAGAACAACCAGATAGAAGAGATCAAGGGTGGAGTGTTTGATAATGTTACTGATGGACTTCGCTGGCTGGTACTTGACAACAACCAGATCACCAATGGTAAGATAGCAAAGGGCACAATCGACAAACTCACAGGTCTGGAGAAGCTATTCTTCAGCAACAACGAACTGACAGAGCCAGTCATCCCTCCCTCAAAGGCCCTTGATGAGTTGAAGATGATGCACAACAAGTTGACCAAGTTCCCGTCTGGACTCTTGAATGACAAGGAGAACTTGACCTCCATCAGCCTCCAGCACAATCAGCTAAGCTCCGACGGCATCAGTGGTGCATTCAAAGGCCTGAAGAAGCTGCTGTCCCTGGACGTGAGCCACAACAAGCTGAAGAAGCTGCCAGCCGGTGTCCCAAGTTCACTGGAAATCCTCTACGCCGACTACAACGATATCGACAGCGTAGGAGCAGGATACCTGAACAAGCTGCCCGCGCTGCAGTACCTAAGGATCTCCCACAACAAGCTGGTGGACTCCGGAATCCCTGCGGGAGTCTTCAATGTGTCGTCACTGGTGGAGCTGGACCTGTCTTTCAACAAACTGCAATCCATTCCTGAGATCAACCAGCAGCTGGAGCAACTCTACCTGCAGGCCAACGAGATCAACAGTGAGTGGCAACCAGCAATCTTTACTCTATTAAAAGTATTGGCAAAGCCTACTTTTTCAGTACTTTAAACCAGGCACTGTTTCCATCCATGGTGGCTAGCTTGCAGTCTTCTTGTTCACCACCTTTGCAGGCACTTTGCTGCACTTTGAGCGTTATCGCCAACAATTGTCAGAATAACCTGACCACGGGAATGTGTATTGCATGCGTCCCTGTACTAGTGGTCAAAATCTTGAGGTCGGAAGGTATATAGTGATTATTGAGTATTGTTTTTCTTCCAACTTTAATAACTTTCTCTCAAATTTTGATTCTCCGTAGAGTTCGATCTGGCAAGTTTCTGCAAGTACGTCGATCCCCTCAACTTTTCCCGCCTGAAGCATCTGCGTCTGGAAGCCAACAATGTCACACACAGCAGCATGCCCCCTGAATACTCCAACTGCCTGCGCCAAGCTGCAGATATCATGTTTGAATAAGAACGTCTCTCAAATCTACGCCCCTTCCATGACCCCTGCTCTCTACTACCATAACACAGCCCAGCCCAAAGCCTTCTGGATTTAAATGGCCTAATATCCCTCCTGTCATAGTACTCACATGTCCTTGCACATAAGTAGTATGCAAATCTGAGGTACTGTAATGGCATCTTCATCAATTAAATATATATCTTGATTGAATCAAGAGTGGGCCAAATTTGAGATACGATGAATGGCAGGACAAGCTATCGACAATTTTGCAAATCTTTCTCGACAAACATGCAATTAGATTCAACAAACATCAAATATCTGGCTCTAGATATGAATATTCACATAGTTCACAAACACATGAAGGAAAAAAAAAGAATAAAAAATATATAAAAGGGACCAAAAGTTTTATGAATAAAAATAAATTCATATGCTTTGATTAAAAACACACACTTTAAACATTCCAAACTTTTATTTGATGGCATTGAATACAGACACAATGGGGTTAACAATGGCTCCAATGTCTCAATTCAGTCATCATTTTGTTGTCTGTCTTGTATGTTCCAATGTTTAGCATGTATAATATAATGTGGGTACAATAATTAATCCATTGCTGTGCAAAGGACCAGCAAAGAAGGACTGCATAGTCCAATTTCAGTGTATAATGCCTAATGTGAGATGATGGACAAATGTAAAGTAGCAGTTACATAGCAGTCACATTTTTCAGCATCTTCGATGAATCAAAGTGGCCTTAAGGAAAATACCAATGTCATTCACTCCTGTGTGCCTTTTTCACAAATGGTGCCTTGGTGCAAATAGCACTGATTGACTTCTTTGAGCTATAAAGTAAAAAATAATAATATTAGGAGAAGAAATAACTTCCCAATATAAGTAGGATTTAGCTGTAACTGAAGTATATGGTAGTATGAAGTACATGAATGACACATGATTAAAAAGACACTGGTATGATCCTTGAAGCTACTTTCTCTTCTCAGTTCAACCTTGAAATGATAGGATGATGTTTTCTAGAAATCACGAGTCAAATTGTTTCTTTACGTTACCTAATTCCTAGCTGTCATGCGCATTGCTGATTTGTATACATTTGCATTACTTGCATGCACCCAATGGTACCATTCTTTGATAATAAACTACAGCTTTTGCAGTTAAGGCGCTCTCATTGTTACGTTGTTGTTCACCATGTTTGATGAATGCTTCTCACAGGTACAAAGTCGACGTGGCAGCAGTGTCATGTTGACTGAAATTATGTTCTTAGAATATCACATTTTGTTTAGGTCATTTTATCGTGATTTCTTATGTGGCTTTTGACTCGGTAACTGCTCTTGGATTTGCTGTGAGGAAACCAAACACAGTTGAATAAACTATGTTTCCAACATATTTGTATGATATCGCTTTTTAAGCCTGCTGCAATTAATTTCAAACGTGTATGGAAACAAGTAGATAAAGACATCTTGTTAGGGTCAGGATACATGTAATTAAAGGGGACCTGTTTTGCTTTTCCTTATTTTCTGTCACATATAAACAGGGCCAAAATTTCAAATATCGAGCTACTTGTATCGTAAAACTACTACCTGTCAGCAAAAACTTCAGGCTTAGACTGTTGTGAATATTCTGTTTCCAACATTTTTCTACTTTCAAGACAAGCTGACAATTATTTGTGATATGGTAATCTTCTCCAGGCAAGCTATTGCAAGTGTTGACATTACATAGCCTACACTGCTACATGTAGCTACATGCTAATGTGTAATCTTGGTTGTTGATGTTGTTAATTCCTCCCTAATTTTGGATCAGACCATTCTGAACACTCTGGGTTTTTTCCTACTTTCGAGACAAGCTGATGTCAGCTTGTTGCTACATGCTAACATCAGGGAAACGGGTTATCTTTGTTGCCGATGGTAATTTCTCCCTAATTTTGAATCAGACCATTCTGATCAGTTTGTTGCAAATTTCTTTAGATGGTCATCTGCTCCAGGCACATCATAGAGAGTTACATTCACTGCTACATGCAGCTACATGCTAACATCAGGAAAACAGGTAACCTTAGCTGCCGGTGTTGGTAATTCTTTCCAATTACGGATCATTTTTCTGTTGGAACATGTCTGTTTGATTTTCACTGTAGAAAGTGCAGCTGTACCCTGGCTGCAGGTCCACTGCTACATATAGCTACACACTAACGTAAGGGAAACTTTACTCTTGGTTGCAAACGTTCTCCCTGAATTTTGGAACATAATCTTGCTGGAACATGTCAGGTTGTGAAGATTTTGGTTAAGAAGCTTTAATTGGTGATTTTTTTTCACAGTACAAAGTGCCGCTATACTCTATATATATATACAGTAATTTCCCAGCTGCAATGATAGTGCACAGACACCAAGAGTGCAAATGTGTTAGATCCGGAAACACTGACCAATCAGAGCAGACTGGGCTTTTACTGGAGGGGGGCTTAAAACAGTGTATTTCAGACAGAGGATGAATACAGGTGTTCCAACACAGGAGGTAAAAAAATAAGACATTTTTTGAACGTTAAAACATATAAAGACGTTCTAGCAGGAACCCAAGCCCAAAGTAGTAGTATGAATCCAAGTATGAGTAGTATGAATCTAAAAAAAATAGTGTAATAGGTCCCCTTTACGGATGGCCTTTTATATTGAATTTATTTGCTGACACAAACATAGTGTTTAAAGGAAACTGAATTTCTGTATCATTTTCCACAAGACATCCTGTAGTAAGGGTTTATATGATTTCTTTGTAAATCCATATCTAATAAAGACAACTTGGGATTGGAAAAATAATTTTGGTGGTACACAGTATACTTTTTTATTAAGTATGGTTTATTATAAAGTGATACCTGCAAAGGTATGCTGTATATGACATAACCAAATTTGGGTATTACCTTCAAATATCTAAAGTCACACACAGACTATACAGTGAATTCATTGTACACAAAGAATATTAAGAATCTTATTGCTTTATCATGGTTCAAAACACATGGGTGACAAGATGACTAATAAACACCAGGAACAAGCCGAAATCAAGTAAAAAGAGCTAAGTTAAAAAAAAAAAACCCACACACACAATGTACAGTCCTGTCCACAGAGATAATACAGTATGTCAAGCTATTTATTGAATATATGTTATATCAGAATTCTCCTGTGCATTATGAGAGAGCATGATTAGTTGCAGATTACTTGCTCTATGAAGTGTGCTGTCACATTTGGCAGCCACCATTTTACTTTCTGGCCTTTCAGATGAAGTCACCATGATTTACAAAAGGGGGAAAAAAGTGTTTGTAAGATTGATAGACAATGCCTGTATTTATTCTCCAGGGCCTGGTGGTGTGTTTCAGATATACTGTTTACATTTGTGGTCTTCTTCTGTACCTTGAATTCCCCACTTTGTGTCTCTCAACTCATTAATTAACCGTAGTTACACAGAGAACCTATCATCTTTGTTCTGTCCTACATTTCAATGTAGCTGCGGAGTGAAACAAAACCCTGCTGGTCCTGGAGGGATGCAGGGGTTGCAGGGTTTTGCTCAATACCGCAGCTTTAAGATATTTTCTCCCTAAAAATACCCTTCCAGCTGTCTCAGACAAAACCACAAATATCCCCTGATGATTTCAAAGTACTTTATTTTGCAGGATAGCTTCCCCGTGGAGCTTCAAGACAAACACTTAAAGTTTCCTTAAGAGAGGACTATTCTAGTGTACTGTTTCCAGTAAGATACTTTTTAGTCTGCATATTTGGCTTGTCAGGCTTGTTGCCACCACTTGTGGTCGACAGTAAAAAAATGTTATCATTTCTCAAAAACACTCTGACATTTACAGCCAATATCAGACTGTTTTTGAATGTACTGTTGACTGTACTAGGACTTTACAAAGAAAAACTGTGTATAGACTAACATACAAAATTAATCCTTTGGCAATCATCACTGATGATCCACTAGAAGTGTGTAGCAGTGTATTTATCTGCAAAGACTGCCTGTATTTTCTTATCTTCTTTTAATTTTGCTGGGGTGTTTATGGGCATGTAGCCCCCACCCAATCACACATAGCTGCCAACTCTCACACATGGTAGTCATTCCACTCCTGTACGGTAGGTGGCGCCACCTTACATAACTAGGCTACTACCTACAATGACGAATGATGTCCTCCTGCTAGTAAGAACTTGTGAGAACATGTAAAGGCATTTGGAGAGCTTTGTAAATGTCAAAAATGAAATGAAATGGCCTAGGTCTAGGCACTCTTAGACTTGCATACTTGCATGCTATATGCTGCATAGGCAAGCCCTAGTTTCTGGTTTGAACTAGTTCAGTCACTCTGAGCTGTTCACTTGTGAAGGCACTGCAAGTCAGGGTGGCTTTGAATGAATGTAGGTATTGCCCATCTCCAGAACGCTACCCCTAAACCAAACAGAATGCAGGAAATCACATCTACAACTTCCAAAATTTTCTGGGGGAGAATGCCCAGGCCCCCACTATACCACCATTGTTTCTCTCTGTGTGGTATTTGTATGTTAGGTATTAGGCCCTATCCATCTCCAGCAGGCGCCCCAAAAATCCGTTAGGATGCAGGGGATCAGGATCGCATCTACCAAATCAGTTTACAAACAAAAATTTTATGTGTAGGCCTACACGACGAAATTGTGGTCGGCCCCGCCGAATCCCACCCCAAGGTTTTTTGAAAAGTTGACAGCCCTGATAACAGCATGTAGTATAAGACAGGAATTTATAAGGTAGCAATCAGGTAGTAGCACAATTAAATCACCAGAATACATGTTGGCAATGTGCATTTTGCAAACCATGGATACATTACATTTGTACATAATTATGTAGTGAATACACTGAATGCTGTGTTTGACATATGGTTACGTTTAAACACAAAAACCACTGGAGAAAGCAATGATTCATTTTTGGACACGTCACCAGACTATCACAGGGCTCATACATAGAGACAAACAACCATCACGGTCACATCAACACCTACGGGCAATGAGTCACCAGTTAACCTGCATGCCTTTGGACTGTGGGAGGAAGCCAGAGTACCCAGAGAAAACCCACCCTGACACAGGGAGAACATGCAAACTCCCCAAAGAAGGGATCCCCCACCCCGGGTTCAAATCCCCCACCCTGAGTTTGAACCAGGAACCCTCTTGCTGTGAGGCTACAATGCTAACCACTGCATCACTATGTAAAAACAGTTGCTTCTTGTGTCACTACCTGACAGGAAACACAGTGATGTCTCAGTAATAAACAACCAGGTGAGACACAGTGACAGGCCACTGAAAATTACCCACTTGTTGGCTAAAAAGCTGCCGGAAACACAGTGATGCCTTGCTAAAAAACAACCATTTTGTTGCTGTTGTTGGTCTTGAACAGTAGTCTGTAGCCTGGCAGGTGTCTTGTCTAGGTGACACGCTATCCACCATCCCCTTCACCTCTAGATGACAAGGTAAGCTCATATACTACATGACTTTCAGCACATTGACATAATACTATGAAACATGCAAATGTGATGTGTCTGTGCGTAGCAGAAGCGGACAATGCCAACATTTTCTTCTGGCAACTGGAACGAGTAACAGCACATATCCAAGAAGAAGCTAGGAAAATCATGGAAATATGAATAGAGTGAGACGAAACTCCAAGCAGACAATGCTCGCTCCCAAATGAGAGTGAATCTGGACTTGGAATTCACTTTCAGTTTCACTGGCGAGCACTGAAGGAGAGGATAAAGCCAGTGATTAGCTTAGTTAGCTTGATTAAGTACTGGTTTTTCCATTACAACAAATGTAACATTCAATAGTGTAGGGAGAGGCCAGGTTGTTGTGTTGCTGTGTTTACAAAACAGTAACCAAAAATTCCTGCATGGTATACCTTTAAGAATGATTCATGCAGCTTCATTAAAAGGCCTTTTGGGCTATTTTTCTGCACATAAACCAAAGCTAAATATTTATTTCTCTACTGTTTTGCAATAGATCATATCAAATCAAGATAGGAATGAGACTACTAGAGATTTCTGATCAGGATTTTGGCCCCTTCGTAGGAGTGAAGTTCTTTTAGTCTTGTGATTGGAGGAGTCTGAGAAATGTTTCCTTGTGTGCCAGAGGGAAATAAAACTATAAAATCAGCACATTCCTTTGTGTTTCTGCGTCATCTTTCAAAAGTTACCATCCAATTTATCAGAAGGCCAAATCTTCACATGGATATGATGCTGGTGTTTGGAATATTTTTTGGCTTTTTTATTTATAAGACCACAGTGAATTAGGGACAATAATGCTGTCCCATATGTGTTAGCATCTGTATTTCAGACTTCTTATATACATTTATCCATAATGTTCCAGATCCTTGGCTCAAAAAAAGCTATTGTGCATGCTGTGTTGTAT